ACATTTTTCAATGTTCAACCTCATTTTGCCCACGCCCTAATTTTATTAATGTTATCTGGTAAAGTTTCTATATCCTGCTGTGAAGTTATTGCTCTGCTTAGCTTTGTATCCGCAAACACTGAGATTGAGCTATTTATACCAACCTCTATAATTTATAAATCGATGAAACAGAATTGCTTCCAGGACCGAGCCTTGGGGTTCCCCATTTACCCCTCCCCACTCCAGACCATTCTGAGTATTTGCTATTTATCACTTTCCTTTGTACGCTGTAACCAGTGTTTTATCCAGGTACATACACTGTGGTCTAAGTCACTATGTAAATTAAGCATTTGAGGAACTGTATCGGATGCTTTTGCGCAGTCCAGATATTCCACACCCAGAGGTCTTTCTTTATCAAGATTCTACTCTTTAAACTATATCCCACAAAACCTACAGGTAAAATTGTTATCCCACACAACAGTCCCAAACTAAAAAACTAGTGGAGTGTAATAAACAGAAGATAAACAAATATGTAACTAATAGGGAAGACCTGGGTCTGATTATAATAAATTGCAGGCTACAGACACGTTTATCACCCTCCATGTGTGAACATACACACAAGGGATGAAATCACTCATATCGCTACAAATCAGCGATGAAATGATTTCTGCCCAACTGTAAATTTAAACCTTTTGAATGTAATGTATCCATATTATAGATTCACTTTCTTTTGTAAGAGATCACACTCTGTCCCCATAATTGGAGGGAACTAGCATCCCTATTGTGAAAATCCCTATAGTGCAAAGAGACACTGATTTTTGTAACCAATTGTGATGTTATGAACATGCTCAGAAATGTTTTTTTAGCGGTCTTAGTGCAGCCAGTGTACTTAATCAATTTTACAAAGTCTGTTCTCCAGCCCTTGCACCTGGAGTACCTGAATCTAATCTTGGACATGGTCCATAGCCAGGATCTTCCTTCCTTCAGAAAATATTGCCCCTTTAAAAACCCATATGCAGACCCTGAGATCCAAAAGACATCCATTAGTTTGCTTCTGCATGAGGGTCCTGCGCCTAATATAAGCTTCCTTTGATGCCGTCCTCTTTGCCCAGTTTCACTTCAGGACACCTAACTCAATATCCTCAAATTGTGGAACAAACAGATCTTCTCTCTGGACCATCCGATGTGTCTATATTCATCCAGACAAATTTCTCCCTGTCTTGGTGGATCTCCAGCTTTGCTCTAGAGTTGGTGTTATTTCCCATAACCCTGGAAGGTCGTGATGGGATGCCAACTTTACCAGTTAGGGAGGAAATTTACAACACACTAAGCATCCAGGGGAAATGGTCTTCAGTGACGTTGAGACTTCTCATCAACATTCTGCAGCTGAGAGCCATCAGATTGTCTTTACAACACTGGATCCCCCTTCTACAAGGTCACCCAGTCAGGGTGCAGTTGAACAGTGCCACAGCATTGACTCGCATAAACCATCAGGAGGGCATCAGAAGTCGAGCTTCGCAAGAGAAACACATTTGACACTCTTTGGGCAGAAATTCACATTCATGTATTCACTGTCATGCACAGTGGGTAGGTGAACTTCCTAAGTTGTCAACATATAGACCCTGGGGAATGGTCTCAAGCTTTCAGAATCTGCCAGTGGTGGAGGAAACCAGATATGGACATCCTGCCCTCCAGGTTTAACAACAAATTGCACAGATTTGTAACCAATACAGGGGATTGTTTAGCCTTTGCCCTGGTAATTCCTTGGTCTCTATTTAGACTGCTCTGTACCCTTCCTCTTATACAGATTCTCTCCCAAACTGCTGTGCAAGATAGTGGTAAAAGGGTTTCGGTGATCCTCATCACATCAGATTGGCCCAGAAGGACAGTACAGACTCCTGGTGGACCAGCCTTGGCCTTTTCCCAACAGGCTCGATTTACTGGTGTAAAGTCCCTTATTTTGTTCTGATTTGCAGACATGGCTGTTCGGAAGGGTAGTGGTATATCTGATTCAGCCATTCCCGCCTTACTAGCATTGAAGTCTACATCCCTCAAGATCTACCATTACACATAGAAGGCCGCCTTTTGTGTGGTGCAAGGCCAGACTTCTAAATCCCAGATTTTTATCTTGGCCTTTTTTTTTTTAAACTGTCTTGGCCAGTGTCTGGCCCTGTATAACTTTTAAGGGACAGGTTTCTGTCTTATCCATTCTTTTCCTTTAAATCTCTTGCTTCACAGTCCATCAAAACTTTTCTTCAGGGAGTTGCTTATATAAAACCCACAATTCGACCACCTTTGTCACCTTGGGACCTGAGTCTGGTGTGTTCTGTACTCCAAAGACCCCCATTGGAGCCAATTGGAGATATTTCTTTAGAACACCTCACTTATAGATTGCCTTCCTAGTGGCCATTTTTGTCTGTTAGGTTTTTTTCTGAGCTGGCATCCCTTGTAAAAAGAGCCTTTTCTTGTATTGCACAGGGACAAGGTGGTTATGAAACCAAGGCATTTTTACCCAACGTAGCTTCTTTTCACCTCAGTAAGGATATTGTTTTTCCTTCTGTCCCTGCTCCTAAACACGCTTTTTTTTTTTTTGTCCTTGCTACAGCTTCGTAAAGGGCTTTCTGCTTTTGCCAGGTGGATCAGACAAATTATTTCCACAGAATTGCTCTTTTCCCTGCCGTGGCTTATTCTATCAGATCTGTTGGTGTTCCTTGATGCTGGAAAGCCCAAGAACCTAGAACTCAATTTGCAAGGCTGCCACCTGGTCCTCTGTTCACACCTTGTCCAGATTTTACCAGGTGGATGTTTAGACCTCAGCTGATGCAAGTTTCAACCACAAGGTGCTAAAAGTTGTCATAAGTGTTTTTTTTTTTTTTTTTTTTTCCCCTTCGGGTCTTTAATCCTTACGTCTTTATACGTACAATAAAGGACATAACGGTTATAGGCTGCTACCTTCAGGTGATTGGACACTGGCAAAAACCTTGTGGGACATGCCCCCTAGGAGTACTCCTAAAACCACACCGAACAAACTGTGGGTCCTCCTTTTTTTTTTGCTGCTAGTGTCCTTAGGTGAAGGACCTTTTTTCTTATACAAGTACATGATAAAGTAGGCACATATCAGGAATATGAAATGTTGGGTTTACATGTCATTTTAAAGGCTCTTTGCATTTTCAAGTCCAGCCCCGCAACTAGCTACTGTTGCGTTTTCTGTTTGCCAAACTGCTGCTAATTTGACTAAGGCAGTAAATAATGAACAGAATCTTGTATTCCAAAGCCGAGTTCTGATGGAAGATGTTTCTTTTGTGATGCACTTGACAGGTTCATAAGAGGTCATGGACGAAAAAGTCCTACTTCCACATTGTTTAAAGGTGGTAGAAGCCTCCAAAGAGAAGGGTTTTAAAATCTTCTAAAGAGCGCTCCATCTCCCTCCCGAGGCTTCATCTTCAAAGGCAAGATTCTGCCCTTCACGTAACAGTCTACCCCAAAGTCTTTCTTCACTGTGAGTTTTTAAGAGTGGGAGGACTTCTGGTGCAGTTTGCATTCTTCTGGGTCACAGATATCCCTGACCTCTATCCTCTCACCTTCTGGGTCACAGATATCCCTGACCTCTATCCTCTCACCTTCTGGGTCACAGATATCCCTGACCTCTATCCTCTCACCTTCTGGGTCACAGATATCCCTGACCTCTATCCTCTCACCATTAGCCTTCTCTCAAACATCTAAAATCTGCTAAGTTATATTTGCGGACTGCCCTGAACCATCATTTATCCCAGGGAGTAGCTATTCTTCCATCCCGAACCCCCCCAACCACCCCTCCCCGGCAACATTGCAAGCATCAGTTGGGTTTTCCTGGACTTTCTGACTTTAAGTATTCCACAGTTTCATGCTGTTAGAAGTTTTTAATAGTTGGATGTCCAGGCTTCTGCGATTGCAGCATTCAGCCTCAAGGTTCTTTCCACTGTGCTCTGTTTAGTTGGGCCTGTTGGTACTTTTCGGTTTTCATTGCCTACCCCTCATTCATTGCTTGAGTATTTTCCAGAGTCTATGGAATCCAGCCTGTCTTGTACTGTATGATGAAGATGAAAGGGATTTTGTCTTGCCTGTAAATTTAATATCCTTGAGTGCAGTACAAGACACAGGCCACTCTCTCTTCTCTTTTCTGAATTACTTTGCTTTACTTGCTAAAAAAAATCTGAGGTCTTGTGGAATGGAGTAGAGTTATAAGGCTATGCCCAGAGGGTGTTAAACGTTTTGCCAGTATCAAGTCAACTGAAGGTAGCAGCCTATAATTCAGGGTCTATGAATATCCTTCCTTTTACTGTGCTTCAAAACATGGAATTTACAGGTAAGTCAAAGTTCCTATTCTTTTTTGGGCCTGTTGGCAATTCGGTTTGCTATGTTGTCTACACCTCAGTTCTTTACTTGGATAAATTCCCTGGTTTGTGACTACAAGCCCTGTGTCCTATGCTGTACGATAAGGATAAATTAAATTTGGACCTTATCTTGGAGGACACTACAGGACCCTCCCCCTGTATTCCTGTGGTTACTGCTTATTGCTTGCTAAAAAAAAAAAAAAACTAAATTCTCCCGCAGTAGATGGGGTTATTTATCATGCATTAGGAGGTGTCTTAACAAAGTTCTTGACTGCTCCCAATCACCTGAATGTTGCCTGCATGTAACTCATGGTCTAAGATGACAGGCCCTGTGTCCTGTACCATGGAATTTATAGGTAGGTTAAAATTACCTCCCTCCCCCAATTCCCCCCCACACACACACAATTGTGTACTTCTGTGAAATTGGTGTTTTTTTGTTTTTTTTTCAACTTATGAATGTTGTCAGATGTGTAAATCAGAGAAATGACCAAGCAGATTCACCGTTCATCAGTATTATACAGTTATTTTTTACTGTAGTGAAAAGTATGGATTTCAAATCTGGTAATGAGAAATTTTAATAAACTGCTGCATTTCAGTCTAGTAGTTTTAAAATTGGCCTTTTTTATAACCTATTTTATACAATTTCAGGAAATGTTAAAGAAGTGCCATCTCTGTATGGAATCCATTGTACAAGCCAAAGACAGGCAGGCAGCTGAAGCTAACAAGAATGCTAGTATCCTATTGGAGGAACTTGATTTAGAAAAGGTAATGAATTCACCTTTCCAAACACCTGAGCTATTGGTACATTAGTACTTTTAAATTATGCAGTTTTATTTTTTAAATTTCCCTAATATGTACACTAACATTCTGAATCGTATCATTTTTAGCTACGAGAAGAAAGCAGAAGGTTGGCGCTGGCTGCAAAGCGAGAAAAAAGGAAGGAAAAGCGTCGAAAGAAGAAAGAAGAGCAGAGGCGAAAACTGGAGGAAATTGAAGCCAAAAATAAAGAAAACTTTGAGCTTCAAGCCGCTCTTGAAAAAGAAAAGCAGAAGGTTGAAGGTAACTGTGATCATGCGGTGTTTATAGATGTCACCAGAATTATATCAGGTACTATGTAAGACCTTATAATCATATCTATAAAAATTGTTTGAGCTATTTCTTATGCTTGATATGGAAATTAAAGTAGTAGGTTTAAGTAAAGACCTGTACTAAATATGCATCCTTTTTTCCCCCACACCAATGTCCATATACGTTTGTTTTCAAATGCAGTATATTTCATTAGGATTTTGCATACATATTTTTCACTTTCCCTTGATTAACAAAAACCATTGAACATGCATTTATATATACAAAACAAAAGTTGAAGAAAGTGGTGTACACAGGTATTATGTTATACTTGCCATATGCATACATTTTAAAAGCAACAGATTAGAAATTTTGTTGATAAAAATTATAGTACATCTGCTTTGTAGAAACTCAGGTTTAGCTGTGAATCTCATTTAATTTTAAAACTTCATAACATTTTATTTTCTTAAATAGATGAACCCCCAGTTGTTACAGAACCACCTAGCGCAACCACCACCACCACTATTGGCATATCTGCTACATGGACCACTCTAGCGGGCTCACATGGAAAAAGAAACAATACCATTACCACAAGCAGCACGAAGCGGAAAAGCAGAAAGAACAAAATTGCAGAAAACGTGCAGATTATATTTGAAGACCAGCTTCCCATTTCCTATGGGCAGCAAGAAAAGCTAAACGGAGAGTCCAAAAGTAGTAGTACCAGTGAAAGTGGAGACAGTGATAACATGAGGATCTCCAGCTGCAGCGATGAAAGCAGCAATAGCAGCAATAAGAGCGACAATCATTCTGCAATCAATGAGAGCAGTTTGCAAAGTAAAAAGAAACCATCTGTGCTAGTTTCCTCTCCAAAAGAAGAAAGAAAAGTATCATCTAAAACCTCAGTAAAGTAAGTGCCTTTCTGTGTGTGCGTGTGGGTTTTTTTTTGTGCATTTAGTTTCATGATATTTTGATAAAGTTAGGTTTGTTGTGTTTCTTTTTTTTTTTTTTTTTTTTTTTTTTTTAAATGCAGATTTGACAAAAACCCTAAAAAAAACAAAAAAAAAAAAACGTTAGCTCGACACTTAATCAAATTGACCATCTAAAATGAGGGCATACAGTGTTTGATGGGATGCATGAAACTACTGTGAGTCCTACAAAAATCAGCAAAATACATCTGCATTGATCAAGTCCATTTTGATGTAAAAGTTATTTTGTAAAAAGTGATAGTTTTACTTTTTTCAAAACACGTCCAGAATATTCACACTCCATAGGTATAGGCGTGTACCTTCATGTGATTTGACACCTCCCCGCATTTAGCTCCCTTAAACCAGGGAAAATTTACCAATTTTATAAGGCTGCAACCTGTTTTTTTTTTTTTTTTTTTTTTTTTTCCCACAGAACCTTAAGTTATGCAAGGTAGATATTTTAGCCTCATCCATTTACTTCTTTGGACCCCAAGTTTTTCAGGTGGCTGTGGGCTAGAGGCAGTCCACACATTTTTCTATTTTTCTTGGGCTTGTTAGCATTCTCTGTGTTGCCCTCAGTGGACTGCTTTTGGGCGTCACAAACATTCGACTTCCTCTGTTCCTCAATGGACGTAAAAAAAGTATTTTTGAACTGTAAAATCTTTTTTTTCTTTGAGTCCAAGTCCCCCTCCTCTTTGTGATTATCTGCACTGCTTTGCTACAAAACTGAGTCATACTGATAGGGGACTGGCCTACAGTTTTTTTTTGGTTTTTTTTTTTTTTTGTTTTTGTGCCGGTGTCCTATCCTCCTGTGGGCAGCAGTATGGCCTGAAGTTATGACTTTGTCCCTTAATTAACGCCAAAGGAAGGATTTTAAAGCAAATCCAGAAATTCTATTTTAGTAGCTTTATTAGTGAATAGATTTCAAGATTCCCTTTTGAGAATTGGGTAGTGTTGCATTCTTTTGCCATGTACTGCATTTAATTGGTTTTGGTTAAGCATCTATGCAGAGAACACTCCAGCCACCATTAACCTCATTAACGAGGGATATTAAAGTATATGAGAATATTAATATCCTCATTAAGTGCTATTAAAGCTGAACACAAAAAGTTTAAATACAGTTGTGCTCAACTTTGCATACCGTGGCAGAAATTGTGAATTTTTGGCATCCATATTGAAAATATCAAAATTAGTAGATCAAAACTTTACATACCCTGGAATCTTTTGCCTTGTTACAAATTCACATGGTGACACACTGGTTAATATGGCAAAGGTTTATTTCCCACATCTGTAGCTTTTTAAACTGCACTTAGTGTCTATATAAATAGTCAATGAGTTCGTTAGCGCTCATGTGGATGCCCTGAGCAGGCTATATACTGAGCCATGGAGAGCAGAAAACTGTCAAAGTCCTGCGTAACAAGGTAATGGAACTTTTATAAAGATATCCAAAGCCTTGAATTTGCCAGTCAGTACTGTTCAATCTCCTATTAAGTGGAAAACTCAGGCATCTCTTGATACCAAGTCAAGGGCAGGCAGACCAAGAAAGACTGTATCCACAACTGCCAGAAGAATTGTTTGATATACAAAGAAAAACAGATGGGTAACCTTAGGAGAAATGTAGGCTGTTCTGGGGAAAAAAAAAAAAAAAACTGTGCGGTTGTTTGAAGGAGCACAATACGACGATACTTTAACAAAAATGAGCTGAATGGTCAAGTTGCCAGAAGCTTTTGCTGTGCTAATGCCACAAAAAAAAAAGCCCAGTTACAGCATGTCTGACCACACCTGGACACGACTCACAGCTTCTGGCACATGAATCTGGAGTGGCGATACCAAAATAGAGCTTTAGCTTTAACCATAAGCACTAACACTGGTTAACAAGGCCTATAGCGATAAGAATATCATCCTCACTGTGAAACGTGGTGGTGGCTCACTGATGTTTTGGGGGGGGGGGTGAGCTCTAAAGGCACGGCAATCTTGTGAAATTTTGATGGCAAGATGAATGCATCATGTTATCAGAAAATACTGGCAGACAGTTTGCATTCTTCTGCATTAAAACTGCGCACGGCACACCATAAGCACCAAGCCAAATTGACCCTCCAGTCAAAAAGGTGACTGATTCTGGAGTGGCCATCAGTCTCCTGACCATAATATCATCGAGCCACTTTGGGGAGATCTGAAACGTTTGGTACATGCAAGGTGGCCGCAGACTTTGCATGACCTAGAGACATTTTGCAAAGATGAATGGGCAGCTATACCACCTGAAAGAATTTGTGGCCTAATAGACAACTATTACAAAAGACTGCACAATGTCATTAAAGCTAATGGGGCAATACACAGTATTAAGAACTAAGGGTATGTTGATTTTTCAACAGGAGTAATTTCATTTGCGTGCTTGTTGCCATGTTTTGATCCCTTCTGGTATGACCTACAATTGAATATGCATCCCAAAAGAAATGCGTTTTGCCTGCTCACTTGTGTTTTCTTTAAAAAGGTACTGTTACCAATTCTCCAAGGGTATGCACACTTGAGCACATCTGTAACTTATATTGGACCAAAACCAAATCCGCTTTGTGCGCCAAAGCCTTTACAAATCCAGATATTGCCTTGATAAAAGTAGCGATTACATAATTACTGTGCTGTACATTGCCCACTACAAGCTGCCTGCAGAAAACTAGATTTACAAAAGAAGGCACCCTGAACAAGAAGAGAGACCGCAATAGTGACCATTCTTTATTAGTGCAAACTGGCACAACGGCAAAGTGCAGTGATTGTTTCATGTTTGTTTACTGCACTGTATGAAACACTAAAATGAACAAGATTCAAGTAAGACTACACATGGCTCTTGTATGTAAACATTTGCTTAGCCCAGATTTCAGTACAGGACCTGTGCCACCTAATGGCAAAATGTTCAGCTCTCAAAAGTAGTTTCATTTTTGTATTTTATTACCAGTTTATGTGGATTTAATTTTTTATTAAAGAGCATATTTTTTTAAAAAACATTTTATATATGTATTGTACTACTTTTATTTATTTATTTTTTTAAACCCGCTTGTGTATAAGGCTGCTAAAAGTAAATTAGGTTTATAATATTCTACTTGTGTAAATAAAACATTAACATTGTGTATTTTCTGGCTTGAAGGTTATCCGAATCTGTTGTTGAAACAACAGGTAATTCGTTATCTACGAGCACGAAGACTGGGCCTTCTCCACTTTCATCTCCAAATGGAAAATTGACAATAGCCAGTCCCAAGAGAGGGCAGAAGAGAGGGAAGAAGGCTGGAAAGAGGTGGTCAGAAGGTGAGTTCAAATAACAATTTTCCTATAACAACTTGGTTGAGTATTTTTTTCTTGGTGTCATTTTCAACTGCAATGTAATTCTGTCTACTCTTGGCTTTTAACACATTTTGTTTTTTTACACATGCATATCTTAATCATAAAGCACAAAACACAGTCTATGTATTCATAGACCCTGGGTTATAGGCATGTATCTTCAGGTGGCACTTTTGAGGACACTGTATAAAGTGCAGAAACTTGTGAGCTGCTATGCCGAATTAGTGATATAAATTAATAAAACATATAAAATAATGGAAGATATTAATAAAAATTGTGAATCACTCACACTATTCACATTCCCGTGCAAAATGTGTTGTATAACAAAATATCAATCAAGTGTCGCGCTTCGCATCTGATTTAAATCAAAACAAGCAACATAAATGTCTTTTAATAAGTGTCCATGTATTGATATTCTGTATGGTTGTCAGTGACACCAGGTCAGTTCCCCCCAGTGTCAGAATGCCCGCCGCAGTCCCGCTATAAGTCACCAATTGTCATCATTCGTACAAAAAAAAATTCCAGTATCTATACCGCCATTTGTAAATGCTATAACTTTCATGTAAACCAATTAATTTAAACGTATTAGGATTTTTTCTTCAACAAAAACATGTAGCAGAATACATTTTGGCCTAAATTTTTTTTTTTCCCCTCAAAATAGTTTTTTTTTTTTTTTTCTTTTATTATAGCGCAAAAAATAAAAACCACACAGGTGATCAAATACCACCAAAAGAAAGCTCAATTTGTGGGGGGGGGGGGGGCGCGCAAAGGATGTAAATTTCATTTGGGTGCAGCGTTGCATGGCCGCTCTATTGTCGGTTAAAGTACCTCAGTGCCATAACTCAAAATCTGGCCTGGTCACGAAGGGGGATAAATCCTCAGGAGGGCAAGTGGTTAACCGCTTGCGGACGGCCCTATAGCAGAAATACTGCCACAGGGCGGCACGGGTGCGTAAAATCACGTATATATAAACGTGATTTTGCATTTCCACCCTACGTGGCCGACAATCACCGGGTCCCAGCCGGTGATTACTCGCCAGTGCCTGATAATTTCCGAGGATCTCAGACGGGGAGTACGGTTTTGTTTACTAACAGTTCTCCTCCCTGTCAGCTCAGCCACACTGCTTTGGATGGCTGTGCACATCCATCCAAAGCAGTGTGATTACAGTGAAGCACACTGACAATGCCCCCTAGCAAAACACTCCCAGCAGACAGTTAACCCTTTGATCACCCCTCATGTTAACCCCTTCCTGCCCAGTGCCATCAGTACAGTGTCAGTGCCTTTTTTTTTTTTTTTTTTTTCTTTTTTTTTTTTTTTTTAGCACTGATCACTGTATTGTCACTGGGCATGTCAGTGACACAGTCAGTTCCTCCCAGTGTCTGCCGCAGCCCTCTATAAGTTGATCGCTACCATTACTAGTACAAAAAAAAATCCCAGTATATATACTCCTATTTGTAAACGCTATAATTTTCACGTAAAGCAATTAATTTACACATAATGGGCTTTTTTTTTTTTTTTTGTAGCAAAGACATGTAGCAGAATACATTTTGACGTACATTTATGACAAAATTTTGATTTTTAAAAAATTAAAATTACTGGACATGTTTAATAGCAAAAAGCCAAAAATTGTGTTTTGTTTTTTGTTTTTTCTCAAAGCTGTCGGTCTTATTTTTTTTTTTTTTATAGCGCAAAAAATAACCACACAGGCGATCAAATACCACCAAGAAAGCTCAATTTGTGGGGGGAAAAGGACGTAAATCTCATTTGGGTGCAGCGTTGCATGATTGCGCAATCTTCAATTAAAGTAACGCAGTGCTGTAACGCAAAAAATGGCCTGGTCAGGAAGGGGGGGAAATCTTCAAGAGGGCAATTGGTTAAAAACCAGGTCTATGTTTGTTTATATCAAGAATTCATATATCGTGCAAAAAAGTCCAAACACCATAAAAATCAATGTATGAAAAAATCCCCAGTGAACCAATCCATAGATTATTATTAGTGTAAAAAGTCCAACATCCCAACGAAATTTCTTCTTAAAACATATAAATACACCGTGCTCAATCCACCACCAGATGAATGGAATAAACTCACCAGAGCTCAATGCTGATCAAATTATAAATCAGCACAAGCGTATTTGCTCTGGGAGCGATGAGAGAATCCAAAGAAGCAACACTCTGTAGTTTGAAATCATCCAGATACCAGGAGCAATACTCTGCAGCCACTCTGAGGTATGGCCAGGACCCTTTATATATCGATCATCCTCCAAATATATGGCAATATCACTGAGAAATAAAGGAAAGGCATGATGGTGCAGTAAGTAAAAACCATTTGTATTTATTAAAATCTCATCTTACTCACAAATCAAGTGTCCACCTGACACTGGTATAAAAAGCGGCAGAATACAAGGAATGGACGAACTCCGTTCACCGCGGACACCTCGCCGACCGCTGCAGGGAACGTCCTGACGTCATCCAATAAGCTCCGCCCTACGCGTTTCGTCACTCCGACGTCCTCACGCAGCGGCATGGGGACGTCGGAGTGACAACGCGTAGGGCGGAGCTTATTGGATGACGTCAGGACAATCCCTGCAGCGGTCGGCGAGGTGTCCGCGGTGAACGGAGTTCGTCCATTCCTTGTATTCTGCCGCTTTTTATACCAGTGTCAGGTGGACACTTGATTTGTGAGTAAGATGAGATTTTAATAAATACAAATGGTTTTTTACTTACTGCACCATCATGCCTTTCCTTTATTTCTCAGTGATATTGCCATATATTTGGAGGATGATCGATATATAAAGGGTCCTGGCCATACCTCAGAGTGGCTGCAGAGTATTGCTCCTGGTATCTGGATGATTTCAAACTACAGAGTGTTGCTTCTTTGGATTCTCTCATCGCTCCCAGAGCAAATACGCTTGTGCTGATTTATAATTTGATCAGCATTGAGCTCTGGTGAGTTTATTCCATTCATCTGGTGGTGGATTGAGCACGGTGTATTTATATGTTTTAAGAAGAAATTTCGTTGGGATGTTGGACTTTTTACACTAATAATAATCTATGGATTGGTTCACTGGGGATTTTTTCACACATTGATTTTATGGTGTTTGGACTTTTTTGCACGATATATGAATTCTTGATATAATTTAGCGCATTCCGATTTTTTGATTTTTTATTTTACACCAATACTTGGGTTAGAGGTTTGCTGCTTTATAGGATTAATATTATTGATTGGCGCTTTCTTTTGTTTGTTTTTTTCTATGTTTGTTTATATTCACTCACAGTATAAACTTTTCAAACTTTGTGCTAAAATTCAACCACTCAGAGCTTATCTGTTTGATCAGGTAGAACATCACACTACTGGTTGTAAAATGTACTGCCACTTCCATCTAGAGCTGTTAATAAGGTACTCGGGCACTCCCTTTCGCTATAAAGACTTATCTACAAAGATGCATTTCACCCAGGTTCTTGTGTTTTTTGGGGTTTTTTTTCGTTTTTTTTTTCCTTGCAGACACACCCTCTATTCTGCACCCTACTCCTTTAGTACCCCACAGGGGATCTTCACCCATAGCTATGATGGAAACCAGGCTATAGAGAGCCATGGAAAAAAAAAACTCTGCCTAACATTCGCTTTGTCGAAGGCACGAAAACTCAACCTCAGGCTAACAATGCTTCTCTTGCATCGGAACAGGGCCCAATTTTAACACCGGTCTCTGCATCACACTCTAGTTTTATTTCAGGCATGCAGCAAGCAACCTGAATGACAAATACAGATGTTTCTCAGACAACTAACTGCTTTAGTGTAGCCATCTCTGTTGTGTCATGCAGCATGAGGGAAAACATTCTGATCAGTAATATACCAGTATTCTCAAACAGCATAATTTGATATAGATTCTTTTTTTTTCATTTATTTGTGTTAAATCAAAATTCAGTACACCTTTTTCAAACATGTTTCACTAAAAGTATGTTTCTCAGTGGCATTGCAGTACTTTCACATGTAATAACTGTGGCATTTTACAGTCCAGTTTATGTTGGTGATAATATAGAGGAGGAGAAGTAAGTTACATTTTCACATTGGAGGCATTGGCATAATGCGTTACAAAAATTGATGCCTCGGTGTACCATCAGATGTTCCTATATCTACATTGGCATGGGTATATTTGGTCCAAGCTTCAATTACAGGTTTTATTCTATAAATATGTCTGGCATGGACAAGCTGCTGTGGTACAGTCCTCCTACAGTACTGCTGCAGATGCAGTTCTGTGTTTCCAACAACCATCACAAATAGTCTGTTGTAAGCATTGAAAGCTGCTGGATTAGTGCAGAGAACTGATGTAACTCAAGTATATTGGGTATTTGTGATTAGCAAAATGCCTCTGATCTTTGTGGAGATAAACATTGGACAATGACAGTTTTCTGTTTTTTTTTTTTTTTTCTTTGTTTTTTTGTGGCAGCAGCTCTAGCTTTGTTCCCACTGGTGTTATCTCTATGCTATGATTTATAAAGAGGCGTGGACCGAAAGTGTTTATTAAAATTATGACTGCATAAGTGTGCAACTTCTCATGTAAGAAAGTTTTTTTTCTTCTAGGTCCAAGAAAGTATCTGTGCCATCCACAGTCATTTCACGGGTTATTGGAAGGGGAGGCTGTAATATCAATGCTATCCGAGAGTTCACAGGCGCACATATTGACATAGATAAACAGAAGGACAAAACTGGTGACAGAATCATAACAATCAGGTAAAATACACCATAACATATTTAACAGCAGTTTTTATAATGTAGCAGGTAAGTTATGCAGGTCTAGATGTAGTAATAGTGTGAATATTAATGTATGTACACATAATTGTACAGAAATGTCTTGGATGGAACTTGCTGTACCACAATAGGTCATTTTTGCTTTAATAGTACTCCTTTTCCATGCTTTTGTATGTATATGTAAATCTGCTTCTGCAGCTACTTTAGTTCCACTTTAACACAGCAGTTTTTTGTTTTTTGAATTCCCCCTGTAACAGTTTTATTACCTGCCGATTTTGCTACTAGAGCTGTTATTTTCCACCGCCTGTAATAGACCAAGCTGTCTAGCAAAACTATCATTTTAAAGTGTTACTAAACTCCGGTCCCTGCATTCACTATATCTGGTCTCCCACAGTACACAGAACATGGAAATGTAATTTTTTTTTTAGTAAATATAAACTGCCAAATACCTTTTCTCATCAGCAGTTAAAGAAGTCTTGTGACTTCTATCAGTCTTCAGCAGAGCACAGCCTGTAGGAGGAGTTTTCATTCTCCCCTATGAGGCTGCAGGACCCTTGACCCTGGACAGTGCGGATTGGTCATGTGCTGATCACATGCACTCTAGCAATACATACCAAACTGAGCATGTGCAGAGTGACTCCAAGCCTCTGTTCTATCAGGAGATATATTGGGGACAGTAGAAGAGAGGATCAAACATCCTTTTTACACAGTAAGTATAACAAACATGCTTTACTGCATATGCAGACTGATTTTACTGTTGTGGGTTTAGTAACACTTTAACAGAGGAAAAAACACATTGCACTAGCAGAGGCGTTTTCATGTGGCAATCTTTCCAAAAAGGAATAAAAACCCTGTTGCTCTAAATGCCAAACAAGTTATGCTTTAATTTGTCTCATAAAAGTCCATTTTCAACTACGTGTCAAAGAATGACCTTTCCACATGGTATAGGTGCTACTGTGGGAATTCATTGCAGAATTATCAGTATTGCCATCCCATTACTGGAAATAATAATAAAAAAAAAAATCTTCTGGTAGGTAATAAGACTGGTAATAGGCGATTTTTGAAAAGCCATAACTGCTGTGGTAATGCTACTGACATCTGCACCATGCATGCAAGTTTTGATTTATTTATTTTTTTTCTTTTACCTCCTCCTTGCCAGGAAGTCCTGTCATTCAAATATCAAGTGGCAAAGCTTCTACATGCCTATAAAGTGATAGTACAGTGTCTTGAAAAAGTATTCATATCCCTTGAAGTTTTCCACATTTTGTCATGTTACAACCAAAAATTTAAATGTATTTTATGTGATAGACCAACACAAAGTGGCACATTATTGTGAAGTGGAAGGAAAATGATAAATGGTTTTCAAATTTTTTTTTACAAATATCTGAAAAGTGTGATGTGCATTTGTATTCAGCTCTCTTTACTCTGATACCCTAACTAAAATCTAGTGGAACCATTTGCCTTCAGAAGTCACCTAATTAGTAACTGGTAAGTCCAGTTCCTTGTATACTACTCATATGTTGGTCAGATGAGCATCCGTGCAAGAAACACCTCTTACATATGTCTTTTTAGGGGTTATGCATCTTTGATGAATCTATGAACAATTTCACTAAGGAAGTCACCCAGGGGAAGAGCACCCCTTTGCCACAGAAAAAGAAAGCAAAATCTCCATCTCGGAAACCCTATACTCAAAAAAAAAAAAAAAAAAAAAAAAAAACATGAACTGTTTTTAGCCTAAAGAAAAGGTTTGAACTCTGTTTCAACCTTCAGTCCACGAGCAAGTCCTCCTGAGAATGAAGGGGCCCGGTTTGTCAGAGGATGGGGGAGGGGCCTGTTTACCTTTGTTGCAGGTTTTTTTTTTAGCCCTTGGATATAATGTTCTGGCCCCAAACTGCCTTCACCTGCTTTATATTGTCAACTTGCTAGCGTCCCTTCATTGATCAGACTTTCACACTGCTTTAGCACAGCTCTTCTCTCAAGGGGAGTCCTTTGTCCCAAAAAGACCTTCTGGTCTCTGTGGATATGAAGAATGCCAAACACTACATGCATTATGCGGATGGCCCATATTACTTTTGCCCTACCCTTTTGGCCTGTACACTGGTGTTTGCCTAGATGGATTGAAGGAGCACAGGGGCACCCTTTGATCAGCAGCAATGTCAGTCTAAGGGGAGTGGAGTGTTATATATGCTAGTAGATTTAAATACACAAACAAATTGAAGCCAACCTCCAGCCAATACTTTTTAAACAGTTACAGCAAACTTTTTTTCTTTTGGGGATAAAGGTTTTCCCTTTTGGGATAAAGGTTTTACATACAAGCTGATCATTGTAAGCACCCTTGTCAGTGGTAAATGTGTATTTTTTTTTTTGTTTTGTTTTTTCCTTCATTACTGTAACTGCTACATATACAGGACTGCTTCACATCTAAGAAGGTAAACTGCAGCATAACACGTGCTTGATTTTGGGGTAATACCGCTTTAACTGCATCAGGTATCCGTTTCAGATGATTTTTGGGCTGCAGACAGTTCTTAGTTCTGTTGAGCCTGTTAGTGGTTATTGCTGTGTTTCCCTCCCCTCAGTAGGATTGCTTTTGGACATCTTCACAGTTTCTGAATTCCTGTGCTCCCAATGGACAAGGAAGCAAATAGGATTTTCGTACTCGCTGTTAAACTCTTTTCTTGGAGCCCATTGAGGGTCACTAGTCCACCGTATGCATTTGATATTCATGCTCTTGGTTAGGGTTGTCACCTCATCCCTTTAAAACCGAACACATATTAATTACACAGATTCTGAGGCTAATTTAATGCAGATAAGGCACTGCGTTTAATTACCACCTTAAGCCACAGAACTGTAATTAATGTGTTTGGTTTTAAAGGGATGAGGTGGCAACCCTACTCTTGGTGCTGATTGCTACCAACTAAGTGATACTGGGTAGAGGAGGGGTTAGTCAACTTTTTTTTTTGCCCGTTTCCTGTATCTCTGCATTATCTGAATTCCTGTGTCCCTCAATGGAACCCAAGAAAAGGATTTTAGAGAGTACAAAAATCCTATTTTTTTTTTTTTTTTTTTTTTTTTTTTGTATGAGTGAGAAAAGGACAGAGCCTCCTTTAGTGTCTCCTTTGGGACTTGCATATCAACTGGGACAAGAAGCAAGGAGATCAAAATCTCTCAGCTTTCAATCTATTTACTGGCCCTTGGGCATGGTCTGTAATGTAATTTCTATGCTGCCTCATAATTTGTATTTTCTTTCGCTGCTGCATTACTGTTATCAAATTATGCTAACTGGTTAATGATGGACTTCATTTCGTTTCTGCAGGGGGGGAACAGAATCCACCAGACAAGCCACACATCTTATCAATGCACTTATTAAGGATCCCGATAAAGAAATTGATGAACTTATCCCAAAGAATCGCTTAAAAACCTCCTCTGCGAATTCAAAAGCAGCACCTTCAACCTCTGCAGCAGTAACATCTGTAAACAGCTCAGTTATGGGAATCAAAGTTACCCCTGTCACAGTTTCGTCATCACAAGCTGCCTCTTCCCTCACTGTGCCAGCCATTTCTCAAGCATCTGCTCACAAACCCATGAAAAATCCAGTGAATAACGTGCGACCAGGATTTCCAGTCTCTCTACCTTTGGCTTACCCCCCTCCACAGTTTGCTCATGCTTTACTTGCTGCTCAGACTTTCCAGCAAATCCGTCCTCCACGGTTACCCATGACGCACTTTGGAGGACCTTTCCCCCCTGCTCAGTCCACTTGGGGCCCCTTTCCAGTCAGGCCTCTAAGCCCTGCACGAGCTACCAACTCTCCAAAATCTCACGTGATGCCTCGCCATGCTAATCAGAATTTGAGCAGTCCTCAGGTGATCCCAGGACCCCCTTCATCTACTAGCCCAACAGCTACCACAAACTCTGCGGCCTCAGTGCCTGTCTCATCTACAAATGGGAGCCTCAATTCACCGTCAGTCAGGAGACAACTTTTTGTCACAGTTGTCAAAACGCCTAATGCTACTACAACCACAGTTACTACAACTGCAAGTAACCACATAACCACACCAACAGCCTCCACCTGCCCTGTTCCCACTGCCAAAGAACATCATACTTCGTCTTCACCTTCATCGCCCTCCCCACCTTCCTTGCCTGGAGGAGGCTCTAGAAACAGTCCCTCTGATTGCCTGACATGTTCTCCAAACAAAGGGACCTCACTTTCTAGTGATCAGGACTTGGGCAACCAACCTGTGATGGAGATAAATAGCTCGGGCAGCAGTAAGCAAGCGAGCTCTACCTCTGGGAGTACCACAGCACACACCACGCATCAGCACCCTCCAACATCTGTTTCACAGGATTCTAGATCTACACTAATGCAGACCCAAGTTCCCCCTTCTCCAGATCCCAGAATGGCCCCTTCCCACAGCTTGGCTGTCAGTGGTCCCACTCACCAGCCTTCACCCATTCCTTCTAACATCCCAACATCCTACAACTTGTCCCACTCCTCTATATCATCTACTCCATCTGTTGCTAAAATTGAATCTTCTGCAGTCAGGCCTCCTTTACATGGAACAAACCCTACTCACAAGAGCCAAGTACCAATACAAAATTCTTCTGTATCAGGGCTTGGTCCTCACTCAAATATTAAACGACCCCAAAGTGTACCTTCGGGCCCACATCCCTCCAGTTTAAGTTCGCAAAGTTCTCAGAATTCTGGTCACTCTTCAAGCAAGCCTATGGCCCCCAATTTCAGTTCTACTCTGCCCTTCAGTCCTTTTAGCACACTTTTTGAAAACGGTCCCAATCCCACACATCCCTTCTGGGGTGGGTCTATGGTCTCATCTCCATCTGCTTCAGACTCCATGCTGTCTGCACAGCCGCCATATTTGCCAAATCCAGAGTCAATGCTTCCATCTGATACTTCCAAAGCACCAGGTTTCAGGCCGCCAATGCAAAGACCAACTCCAAGTCAGTCAGGTAAGTTTAGTTATTAATTCCACAAATACATGGGCTTTTTAATTCTAGATTAATTTGAGCCACAATGTTTGCTCCTTTACTACTCTTTTAAGTAAAAATGTATCGGCTAATTTGGAAGGCATTAAGTAGTCTGATCGGGTTTTAGCATTAGCAGCGCATTAAAGATACTTATGATTTTCTCTTAAGGTATTGTGAATATGGATTCATCTTACACATCTGTGGCATCATCCACTACTCATTTGGGTACCTTTGCCTCTAATATCTCTGGAGGTCAGATGTATGCACCAGGAGGTGCACCTGCAGCTGCTAATTTCAACAGACAACATTTTTCTCCTCTTAGTTTATTGACCCCGTGTTCATCAGCATCAAGTGGTAAGGAGAGATAGATATATGCCCTTTAACTGTTGGTGTGAGAGTTCCAGTCCTTAAAGGAGCACTGTCAAAAATGTTTTCTGATAACTGTGTGCAGGTAATACTTGTTATAATAGTATTCAGTATATTCATTTTTCACCTGCCTTCATATAATTCTCAGCATTTACATATGCAGCTCAAGCTGTCCAACAAAAGTAACAGAAGAATTTGAAGAAATTATAACACTACCCAGGGTTGCTTCAGCAGTTCCAGCAACTGTTTTAATTTTTCCCTCTCAACCCCCTCTTGGTGACACTTTTTCTGGACATGTTGTTCTGCATGTAAATTTGGAGAAAAAATATACATCTGTCATGTTATTAAAAAAAAAATTGTACTTGTTACAAGTATTAACCACACAGTTATTGGAATACAACATTTTTGTGATAGTTATCCATAAAGTTGAAATTTATTAAAAACAAAATACAACAAAAAACAAAACTTTACTATCGATATAAGATTATTTCAGCGCAAGAATTTCACTTGTTGCTAAGATGTGAAATGTACTATATGGAACCACTTTCGGTTCAAGTCAAATTACTGAATGGGGTCATTGGTTAAAACCTGTGATTTTTTTTTTTTTTTTTTTTTTTTTTTTACATGTCACTTCACAGGTCAAAATTGACATTAGTCTGTGATTATGTACACATGTCACAAAGGGGCATACATACCTTGCTTTAGGTTAATTCCTCATTTTCGGATCAGTAAATAAACAGGTACCTGTTGTCAATAGATCTTTAATTATTTGACCTTTTTTCCTGTGTGAACACATCCATGGGGCAAGTATGTACATTCTCTACAGTTGCTGAGATCCAGTTCAGTACTGACCCATTCTGCATGTTCATTAAAGCCTGGTTTTAATTTTTTTAAATGCAGGTGGAATGTGCATTGGATTGAAATGTATGTGCTGTGCGCACTGTGCTTTTTACTGTTGTGTTATAGAAATTTGATTCAGATACTTTAGAGGTTGTAAGTTTTTTGTATTTTTATAGAATGTTAATATGAAATTGGTATGTGTACTTTTGTAGATGTTTTTATGTATTTTTTTTTTTTACATTTGTGAATGTTATCAGTTGCCCAATGTCTTATGAAACTAGACATTGTAACCACACATCAGAAAAACAAAAATTCAGTTAGCTTCATGTATTTTAAAGCAATTGCAAGCACCTTATGGGCTTGCTATAGGCCAGGGTGTAGAAGTCTGTCTCTCCCTGCAGGGTCCACAACAGATGGATTTTTTTTTTTTTTTTGTTAAAGTCAACACTTTGTCAGATGATCATGGTGAAATGACCATAACTGCCAACTGGGATTCTATATATTGTGTGTAGGTTAGATACCCATTAATATAAAACTGTTCCTTGCCTTTAAACCAACCTCTACCACTAGTGGACATGGTGTACAAATATTTTTGGGTAAAAAGTATAGGAATAAGTTACATTTACATGCTTTTGAATCCCTTGAATTTAGCTTCTAACAATTGCTAATTGTTTGGGTAGGTTTTTCTATCTTTTTAAAAGTTTAGTCTTCCTTCCTCTAGCTTTAACCTGATTCTTTGTGTCTCCTGCTGTTTTTTAAAGACAATTATGGCATGCTGTGACTTCACAATTTTTTGTTCCATATGATATTAAGTAGAGTAAGACATTAATTTTTTTTTGGTTGCTGCTATTAAAAATTTATATATATATTTTTTCCCACCTAGATTCTACAGCCCAGGCTGTGTCTGCTGGTGTTCGAGCACAGTCTCCCTCACCTTCAGGAGTTCCCATGGTGTCTGAGAAACCTAACTCGGTATCTCATGACAGGAAAGTCCCAGTACCAATTGGAACAGAACGTTCTGCACGTATACGGCAGACAGGGACATCTACACCTTCTGTAATTGGGAATAACTTGGCCACTTCTGTAGGACACAGTGGAATCTGGTCTTTTGAAGGAATGGGAGGCAGTCAAGGTAAATATCATTAAATCCATTGCCTTCACAGTACTACATTGCACTACACAATGGTAATTGGTATTTATATTGTATGGAGATTTATTTTCTTGTAGAATGTTAATTTTAGGGCCTTTGGAGCTGCCTAGGTTTTTTTCTCTATGGCTTAACTTTAGTTTTGTGTACTGTACTGCAATTGTTAATTAATTTCGGCCTCTTTCACACTGATGCGGTATGGTTTGATTACGCCGCAGGTGCAGCGCAGTTTACCTGCGGGTTAGTCCTGCATGCAGGACTTTTGGTGCACCTTCAGAAAGCGCACCAAAACTGTTGGGACATAATAGAACTCAATGGGAAAGCGCAGTTAACCACCACCACTTGCATAATTTGCAGGCACACTTCGCTTCACTGATGCATTGCATCAGTGTGAAAGGGGCTTTAAAGTGAACTTTTGTAACAGGTTTCAATGACTTACCCATACTTGCTTTACACACCATATATGTTTTACATAATGCTGCAACATCCACACAAGTAGGGCACCCAACATTAGAGGTGATTTATTCTTACAAAGTAATATACCTTTGCACACTTCTCCCTCAGTTTCTCTCCCTGACTCAGCTAATATGTCCCCAGTGATGATGGAGAGGGGCAGGAGAGGAGCAGACAAGAATACTATCCAAGCGTCTGATGTCCACGTTCTCCACCAATGACGGCATTGGTTGTTAGGACACCAGTGGCTAGAAGGTTGTATTGGTGCAGAATGAAAACCTGTGGCTTTGTGTAATTAAGGGCAGGCTTGATCAACCGCTAGCTTGTATACAATTTTGGGCAATTTTTAGCCATCTTGCCAAGGCACCCTGGTTGAAAAAGGTTGGTATAAGGTAAATTGGTTTCAGCTAGGTTTTATGATCATGTCTGGTTTCACTGCATGCAATTTACAGGTTTATTTAGAAGTATAATATTGACTTTAGGAAAGTGAAGAGCCATTATTTTACTATTTGTACAAGTAAGCCGGTGGGAAGATCACTACTAAAAGTAGTGTGGCGGTGTGTTTTTGTTTTCTGGTTCTAGGCAGTTACTTTACTTTGTCTTAACTTTTTTCCCTCTTTTAATAGATAAAGTGTCAGACTGGTGCCACACAGGCATGGGTAATCACATAATGCATAGGCCCATGTCTGATCCTGGAGTGTTTTCGCAGCATCAAGGAATAGAGAGAGATTCATCTGGCATTGTACCTGCTTCAGGAGCATTCCATCAGCATGTGCCTGCCGGCTACATGGACTTTCCAAAAGTTGGGGTAATATTTGTGTCCATCTTATTTTCTTATGCATTAGTATTTTTTTGTTTTATGTCTAGTACAAAAGTTTTTCTCATCCTTTGGGGGACGCAAGAAGTTGATCATGTCTGGTTATGCTTCCACCTACAGGAGGATTGGACACTACTAAACAAAACTGTATGCCAGCCCAGGGTAATTTCTCCTACTACCATCATGGCTCAGTTTTTTTTTTTTTTTTTTTTTTTAAGGTTCCTAGGACATTGCTGCTAGAGCTTGTCTATCTCTGCCCTATCTGTGCCAGTTCAGTATCTGAGGGTACGTCGATTGAGCTAAACATTGGGAGCTTACCTCATCTGCTTAGGTCACTGGGTCCCTTTTAAAACTCCTACTTCCTGCCAGTTGGTACCATGGAAGGAGTTAATACTGAGGGCTGAGTGGGGACATCATCCAAAAGGTTATGTGTTGCATGCGCACACTCTCCCACCATTCAGTGCCAGCAAAGCATCTCCACTCTTCTGCCTTTGCAATGCAGAGAGCCACATGGAACTTTGATCGCTGGAATATTTCTGCTGCCCGCCTACGTTAGCTTTATCGCCTCCGTATGTCCAACCTCGTGAGTTAAGTACAGGTCTTTCTGCAGTGGGAGATCCCAGCTCACCACCAACTGTTATGGAGGTGTTTTTGTTCTATGCCTACTGGAGATTTAGTCACCAGAGTCCTCCCTAGCTCTGTTGGCTGAGGTCCCCATTATATAGTCACTCAAGACTGTGGCCCAGTTCCTGTCTGGTTGTGATCATAGATGATGTAAGCACAATCCCTTATCACGTCACACGGATTGGATGGCTGTTTTGCCTATGCATCTAGTGGCTTCTGAGCCAGTCGCAGCGACTAGTTCTGATTCACTACAATCTCTGCCTGACAAGGTTAACATAGAGGAGTCACAGACTTCTGCTATTTCAGAATTGAAAAATACTGTCTCAATGGTCATTGATGTGATGCGCACTAGTCTAAAGCTGAAGGGTCAGCTTGCTATCCCCAGTGACTGCAAGGACCATCATAATGTAGCTATCATCTGTGAGGACTGAAAACATCTGATCCCCACAGAGGACCTTCCCGGTGTATCCACTCTTTAAAGTCTTCCTCTGTGGGGTTTGGAAACGCCCTTATATGCCCTTGACACACCCTAAATGCTTACTAGACTTGTCATTTGGAAATTGGATTTTGACAGAAGTGGCATACCCCCACTGTGGAACCACCAATGGCCCACCTTCGCTGGGGAGGGACATTCCTGCATTCAAAGAGTCTACTAATCAGTAGTTGGAAACCCTCTAATACGCTGTTCTTGCTGACAGGCCCTGCCCTGTCCTTTGCCTTACTATGACTGTGGGGGTATGCGCATTGAGGCCTCCAAAACTTGGTCATCCAGCCACTTTCAAAGTCTGCGGTAAGAAACACGTTAAACCCTCTGCTTCAATCAACATGGAAGCATGCCTCCACTTTCAGAAGTTGGGGGAATGTTACTTTACAGATTGCTGAATAGTTTGCCATTCAGGCATCTAGATTCAAAGTCTGGTTGCCAAGGATACAAGCTGAACCTTCGGCAATTTATCTTCAACCTTCCTGTGTTGCCACAGTTTAGCCTCTTTGAATTTTCCTGGGTAACTATTTTGTTGTCCAAGCACTAGTGTTGGATGAGTATCAGTTGTATTCCAACCTGGTAATTTTTTCTTCTACAAAGTGACTGTTTGCATATTTTGGTGCTTGCATGCTATCCACCATAGCTACCATTTCAACTCTGGCTTCTGTGGTAAACTAGGACATGTACCTTCAGATCCTTCTCTGTTCAACACCTTTTATTTCTCAGTCTCGCCCCTGCACCCCCATAGGAACTATAGTTGTTGGTCCCAGGATATGCTTGTGTTCGACTTCATGGCATCCCCATTGTGGGATATACAGGTGATATCCTGTGGAGAAAGCAGTCTTCCTTGGCTCTGTTGGATGTGTCTCTAACTATCCAGAGGTTTCAAGGATTTGGTTGGATCCTAAATGTTCTGAAATTGAAGCTGAAATCCTCACATTGCCTTGCCTGTTCTTCAGTCTGTAAGTTGCTGGTCACTCGGTGACTGCATGAAAGTCATGGGTCTTTGGTCCTTCCTAAATCTCCAAGAAGCAATCGGATATTCCCTAGATCAACTTTACCTATAACTGTTAGTATCCAATTATATTTTGTGAATTTTAGGAAGGAATTCAGGCCTTTTTGTTTTTTTTTTTTTTTTTTATTAACAATCTACCAAGCTAGTCAGAACCAGCTCTTGAGAGAGTATTTCTTATTTTCACAGTACTTTCTGTGAAGAACCATTTTAGTTTTTGGAGATTAAATCTTTTCCTCCGTACATAGTGACCCCTTGTCCTCTGTGATGACCTTAACCGCTTCCGTGCCACTTTATAGCAGAAATACTGCGGCAGGGGTGCGCAACATCAAGTGTATATATGTGATTTTGCGGTTTGGGGCGCGCTCCCTACCCACCCTGCACACACGGCCTCGGCTGTCAATCACCAGGTCCCGGCCGGTGATTCCCCGGCGACTTCCGAGTATTACCAGTGGGGGAGAGACTTGTATGTAAACAATACAGATCTCTCCCCTGTCAGCTACCGCACACTGCTTTGTATGGCTCTGCATAGCAGAGCCATACAAAGCAGTGTGCCTACACTGTAAAGCATACACAGCCAACATAGTAAAATCGCACACAGTTAACCCTTTGATCGCCCTGCCTGTTAACCCCTTCCTGCCCAGTGGCATTAGTACAGTGTCAGTGCTTTTTATTAGCAGTGATCACTGGATTGGTGTCACTGGGGATGTCAGTGACACCAAGTCAGTTCCCCCCAGTGTCAGAATGCCCACCGCAGTCACGTTATAAGTCGCTGATCGCTGCCATTACTAGTAATAAAAAAAAAAAAAAATCACAGTATATATACCGCCATTTGTAAAAGCTATAACTTTCACATAAACCAATTAATTTACACGTATTGGGATTTTGTTTAGCAAAGACATATAGTAGAATACATTTTGGCCTAAATTTATAACGAAATTTGATGTTTTTAATTTTTTTACTGGACAGGTTTAATAGCAAAAAGGTCAAAATTGTAGGTCCTTTTTTGTTTATAGCACAAAAAATAAACGCACAGGCGATCAAATACCACCAAAAGAAAGCTCTATTCGTGGGGGAAAAAAAAAGGACGTAAATTTCAAGACCGTGCAATTGTCCGTTACAGTAAGACAGCGCAGTACCGCAAAAAAATGGCCTGGTCGGGAAGGGGGGTAAATTCTCTGGAGAGCAAGTGGTTAAAGTAACTCTACACCAGGTTCACTATATGGACCACTTATGTATTTACGCATGTTGATCACATCCCCATTAATCTCCTTTTCGGTTCCTCTAATCTTTTTCTCATAATTGAGCTCCTTCATGCCTCTTACCAGTTTGGTTGACCTTCCCTTTCTTCTGACCTAGGGAAGTTTCTAATCTCAACCAGGACATCATTCTTTGGACCTTCTTTCTGGCTCTAGTTCTCCGAAAGAAGCTTCTCTTCCTTTGACTAAGGTTCATGTTATCAATCTCTTAACTCTCACCTACTTACTTTTTGGTCTTCTTGGATGAACACTGTATGGTGAGTCAGTTCTTGTTCCATCTTTCTAGGTGGTTCAGGTAAACCAGCTTCCAAGCTTGGTCTGATCTGTTTTGTCATTCTTCTGTCAAGACCAAAGTTCACAATTAACTTTTTGGCATCAAGCATCAATTTCCCAGTAGAGGTTTGCCAAGTGGTCTTATGTTTTTATATTTTTTTTTTTTTTTCACTAGGAGGATTTTTTGGTTTCATCTCAGGCGTTCTTTGGGTATAAGGTTCTTCAGGTAGCTCTTGATTTACAATCTCTAGTTTATTTGTGTTCACTTTGGGCCTATTGGCAATTGTTTTGCAGTGTTGCCACCCCCTCAGTTGGACTGCTTTTGGACATGCTGGTAGTAGGGAGGGGTGGTTGTTGGCTGGTCTGCACTGTTATATTGCAGTGTCCAGTTCTCCTGTAGGAAACAGGAGATAGACTTCTGGTGTCCCTCTAAGGACTCTTTAACAAAAGGAATTTAAAGAGTACAAATCCTAACTTTTTTTTCTTGTTTTTGTAATGTTACAGGGCATGCCATTCTCAATGTATGGAAATGCAATGATTCCTCCTGTAGCTCCAATGCCAGATGGTACTGGGGGACCGATTTTCAATGGACCTCATGCTGCTGATCCATCTTGGAATTCGCTCATAAAAATGGTTTCAAACTCAACAGAGAATGGCCCTCAAACAGTAAGTTTCATGGTTAAATTCATATTGAGACGTATACATATGCTCTGTGTAAGGATAATAGGCACTGAAAAAACAAAGCTGTGTAAGGGCTATTCAGTGGCCTTGGGGATGTGTTTACCATGCTTTTCAAGTGAATTCATATTGACTTCTGTAGATTAATAAAACCATGGCACAAACTGTTTATTAGCCAAGAAAGTGTGGGTTTCAGCTGTGGATTCCAATCTGCAAATTTATTTATTTTGCTATGCTGTCTTTCTACTTTTCTATTGTTAACTACAGTAATATAATGTTCTTGCAGGCTTAGCTTCAGGTGTCTATAACTGCCACACAGCAATGTGAAATAACATTTCATCAGTCTTGATGAATATAGGTTAAAGAAACCATAGTAACATCACATGATGGTTCTTGAACCCTTGTTACTGCAGTTTCCAAATCTTATGAGAAATGTCTGTTTATACACACAGCAATTTCAATTGCAAAAATGACTAAATGGGTCAAGGCCTCCTGCTATGACCAGTTTCTGTTGAACCTGTGAAAGATCAAAACTGTCAGCTGATTGCCTTGAATGATTTAGTATTTTTTGTAATTTTACAGATAGTTGGCTCCTTTGGCCTTTCAGCTGAGATTTTTACTACAGTCATGTATGACTTGATGACCCAAATAACCCAGTTATTTGTGGATGACTGCAAAGCCTTCACCCCCTTTATAAAAATCCCCCTCTACTTCTCCACTTCAGTACTCTGCATAAGACCATCCCCCTCCAAGCTTTGCTCCCAGTCCACCTGCAAGGTCTGGAGCTCAAGGTGTCTGCCAAATGCTCAAGCAAGCCTTCCTTTGCATGAAGTGCCCCCAGTTTTTAAAGTAGGGGACACTCAAACAGATTGCATCTCGGATACTTGGATGCAGTAAGTGATATACCAAGGCTAGAAATTGTTTTGCTACCTGCATTCTCCGTGGTTTCTCACCTCTAATCAGATTAACACTTCTCAGTCGAGCCCTCTCTGTTCTGTTGGACCACTGAGTCATTGCCCCATATTACTCTAACTTGTCCACTGTTCCCAGACCTAAAGGGGCATCTGCTCCAAAGCTGTAAAAGTCTTCAAGCACATTAATTCCTCATTGAATTCACTAGGCCTATCGCTTTCTTGCACCAGAGAGAATCTTGTTGATGTGAACATCAAGGTGTCAGAACTTTTGCTCTGAGAAAATAATCAGCATATAATTTATGAAAACAGGAGGGGATCTGGAATTAAGGAGATTCCCTACTAATTTTCATAAATCAACTGATAATCTGAGTTCATTTGTGCTAATTTGAAAATTAAATATAAAGCAAAAATATATATTAATAATAGAATCTGTGCAAAATGGTAATGAAATATAATAGGTGATGATAAATAATCAAAATACTAGTACAATGATCTAATAAAAAATTATGGTTAGAGATTCGAACCAGCAATTATTTTCAAATATTAATGATTTAGGACTAACTGTCTAGAAATGATGCTCAGGAAACTATCAGTAGCCATTGAATGACGATGGTTATGCAAATTGATCTTTGAATATCTGGAGAGAGATCACACAGTCAAAGTGAACCTTGGCATGAATTGATTTAAAATACCATACACAGGACAATCCAATAAGCTTAGAATCTTTCTGAGGCCAAGAACAAATGTTACACTAAGTTGTCTACTTTGTCATTATACCTAGCTAAACCATTGACTAGAAAAAGAGAACATTTTAATGAAGATAATATATACTGCAGTTAAGATAATTTCACATCAACTTTGGTGCTAACAATAACCGTTATCAGACCAAACAGTTTAGCTGGAGCTATAAGGCGAGTACAAATTGCCTGAAGAAAAATTAGTTGTACGTTACCAATATAGCTTCTATGTCAGTGATGTTCGCTCACTTCAGTGTGTGTGTCACCCAAAAAAAAAACCTAGGTGGGCAAAGCTTATCTCTCCTAGTTATGTCACACTAGGTGGTTTCTTTCCTAATTACCTGAAGGGGCAGTATAGGATTTGGAATAATTTTGGATTTTTCTTAAATTTCGTTTACTATGTCAAGAGTTGACCTCTAACCTTCAGCTTGTAAAAATACAATAAATTTAAGAGAGAACCACTCTTTTGATGGAACTGGTTAGACAAACTTGGACCAGTGTCACTGAAAACCATGTATTACCGAAGTGATTCTGGAGAAAGGGGGAAAAAATTTTTTTTGCCTGCATCTTACAATTGCTGAGGGCATTTGTACTGAGACTTAATTATCTAATTTCTTCTGTACCATATAGACATTGTAATATAATGGACTCAAACTACTTATTTATAACTTTGAAAACATATCTACAATATATACCGATCTGTAATAATTTTTAAAACCAATTAATATATATAAATTATATATGTATATGGCAATAGAATATAGTAATATAAAACACAAATTACTTAATTAGTCAAATATTCACTTCATGCAATACTAATAATACAATTGACCTTTTTGGTCAAATATTACTGTCAAATAATACCATATGCAATATAAAGTGTAAAATGAACTCTGTTCCAGAGGTTTATGGGAGAAAAAGTGAATAGTACTTCTGTTAAACCCGAGACAGGGATTTGTCAATCTAGTCCAGTCTTTATCTTGTAGCTGTCTGGTACTACCATACCCCCGCCCCCCCCCCCCCCCCCCCCCCCCCCTTCTAAATTATAACCTTGGAAAGTATGCTTTAAGAAACTGAGAATGTCTGCTATTAGAATCTCTGTTCATAAACCATGAAAATAGAGTATGAAGAACAAAGTGACTTCCAGCATGTCTTTGTTACATTATATCGATATGATGCATTCAGGTCTTCCGGTTTAAATATGTGAGCACAGAATAGTTGAGACAAAGGACATGTACCTACATGTCCCCATATTTCCAGCACATCTGCATTTTCTACACTTTACTTGTGTGGTCCCTATAATACCAGCTCTTGTCTCCTTCTGCCAGGTGTTCACAATACTGCCCTACAGTAATCTCATGGCATCCCCATTGTGTGATTTGCCTATTTGCTCTTCTAGTACTTCTTTCAGACAATGTAGCTTTGATTTTCTGTGGCTTTGGATAGATCCTGAACTTGCAGAAATTCGTGCTGAAATCAACATTTTGTTTTGAAAGTTTGTGTCCAGTTCAGGCCAAAAGATTTCTTCTACAAGTTAAAGTTTCAGTCTCAGATTTGAGCTCTCCTACCAGGATTTGTCTGTCTCTGTGCTTTTGTATGAGAACAATGGACCTGATGTAGCCTCCTTGGAGGCATTCTCATTTGCCCAATTTGACTCAATACCTCTGCAAGGTAACATTTTATTAACATGAGACTAGTAAAGTCCTGGACAGACCAATTTTTTTTTTTTGGTATCAAGGACCAGGTTGTTTAGATGTGGAGTTGGGGAAATCCTTCCTTTCCATTTTCTCATGACAGATGCCAGCCTGTTGTTTTGGAGTAGTCTTGGATACTCTGTTGGCTTAGGGGACTTGATTGTCCAAAGTTTCAGGATGTTGATCAGATGACACATACCACAATTTGGCTGTTTCTGTAGCATTGTATTATCTTGCAAAGTCGTATGATCCAGATTTAGTCAGACAATACAATGGCAATAGTGTACATCGACAGTCAGGACAAGAGAAGTAGTTCACCATCTGAGGAGAGGTAAATGGGATCCTGTCCTGGGCAAAAATTAATGTTCTTCCCTTGTCTGCTGTTTATACCATGGACCATTGGCAGGCAGACTTCCTCACCTGATGACATCTGGGCCTGCGGTAGTGGACACTATATGTGAAAATGTCATAGATGTGGTCCTCCACAACAAATTGGACAGGTTTGTCTCCAGGTGCAGAGATCCTGTAGCAGGAAGTAGTGGATGTTATGGCTCATTGGGATCAGTTACACCCTGATCTGTTTTTCTTCCTTTGAAACTACTTCCTCTTCTGCTTTGCAGGATTGAGATGGATGGCTTTTTGGGGATTGCTCCAGAATGGCCCAGGCAGATGTGGTACACTGTCCTGGTAAGACTCCAGACATATGCTCTGTTGGCTCTGTCAGGTTGTCCGTATCCTCTGTTCCAAGAAATTATTTTCCATTCTGTTTCATGGTCTCTGGCTGTAAGGACATGGCTGTTGTAAACCCAAGTTCTGAGAGACCTCTCCTAGTTGTATGATTCCTGTGATACTAAAATATAGGAATTCTGCTTCCTGCAAGGTATGGAAGTCATACTTTGTTAATCTAGGGACGTCACTCCTTGAGTAAGACCAGAGAGTTTTCTTTGTAGCTCCCCCTGTTCTTTACCTTGTGACTGTATGGAAAGTGGTGTTTGGTTGCTGTGTCTCCCATCTCTGTTGGATTGCTTTTGGATGTAGTGAATATGAAAAAATGTCCCTCAATGGACCAGAAGGAAAATTGTTTTTTTTTTTTGTACAAGCAGTAAAATGTATCTTGGAATCCATTGTGTTTATGCTTTCTCTATTACCTACTGGAAAATGATGCATGCTAGTAGTAGGATGGAGTATCCTAGGCTAACTTACTGTTTGGTTGACCGTGTTCAATCCCCTGGTAGGTGGCAGTATAAATCAAAGTTTAAGGTTACACTCAAAGGTGTGTCTCTCAGTGGACTTCAAGAAAGGTTTTCCATGACCACAAAAATCCTGTTTTGCTAGTTGTGCAGTACAGGATACAGGTTTCGTGAAATCCTTACAACTGGGTTACATGCAGCTATTTAGCTGATTGGGCAAAAAAGGAAGGCTGCAGGGACATCACCATATATAACCTATCCCACTTCCAGCTAGTCTGTTTTTAGCTAGTATCTTTGGGTGATGGACCTAGCTGCACTGGGCATGTAGAAACATGTCAGTGGGTTGCTTTTTAAGTGCTGTTACAAAGTAAACATTTGTAGGGTTATGCTGTGCTGCATACTTTTTTTTTTTTTTTTTTTTTTAACTACAGGGCAGAAGCCCTCTAAACATAC